ATTGGTACTTTGATATTTTATTCAAAATTAAGATGGCAATGTTTCACTAATTTTTAAACCGAAAATCATACCGGGTGATTCCACCTACAATGTTAGATTAACTGAATGTCATCTCTAAATATTTTCTATGAAGAACACCTGTCAAAAACCAGCCACAGGGAAACCTCAGGAATATAGGAAAACCTTGATTTTTATAATCTACCTGGGAGAATACTGGGAAAAAAACCAAAATAAAATGAAAGGTCAGCTCACAAATAACAGTAAAATAAGCCCGGGAGAGAAAGGACCAAGGAGAACCGGCAATGCAGGGTGGGGAGCGGGCCGGGTCACACTTACGCGGGCCGGCCAATGAGGATACCCTTTCATCTTGGCGAAGATGAGGTCCCCGGGTTTGAAATCGCGAGTCATGTTTCGGGTCCGACGCGGGGGTCCGCGGACCAGGAGAGCGGCGGGCGGCGGCGATCCGAAGATGCGAGCGCGCGGCTCCGAGGCCCGCGCGCGGGGGAGGATGCCTCGGGTGTCTCGACGAGCCTGTGAGGGACCGCGGGGAGGGCTGTTAACACGCAGACCCGAGGGAGGGGCCGCGGGGGAGGGGCGGCGGCGGAGGGCGGGCGAGCGGCCGGGAGGGGGAGGGAGAGCAGGCAGGGGAGGGAGGGGAGGCCGCCTCCGCTCCTCCCGGGAGCGCGGCCTCGGCCTCGAGCTGCGGCCCGGCCGCTGGACGCGGCCACCTGAGGCAGGGATGCTGGTGGCCTCCAGCCCTGGGCTCGCGCTCCCGCCCCGGCGCTCCCGGCCTTTCTCCGCGGGCTCAGGCCCCCGAGGGAGGGGCGTAGCACGAGAGGAGCACGGCCGCGCCGCCTGCCCTCCCGCCGCCGCAGCCCCCGGGCCGAAGCCGGGTTCCGATGGGGGCGGGGCGGGCCTCACCTGCCGGGCTGCGACGCTGTAGCTGCGGGACGAGCTGGCCGCCCCCACGCGCGTCTACGCCGGCCACCTGCGCCACCAGCTGCCGCAGAGGCGTCTCAACCGCTGCGAGCTGCAACCGCCACCGCCACTGTCGCCGCCGTCGCTGCGCCGCTCCCGCGCTGCTCCCGCTCGGCGCCCGCTAGCGCTGGGGCGAAACCAACTGCTCGCGCAGGCGGGGGAGCGCGGCAGCCGCAGGGGCTGGGCTGGAAGCGGCGCTCCGGACGCCCGGTCGGGGGGCTCCGCCACGCTCGACCTCCTGCGGCCGGATGCAGCGAGAGGCTCGGGGCCGGAGCGAGCGTGGCGCGGCCCGGCAGGACACGACTCCCCCCCCCCAGGCTCGCGGAGTGGTCGGGCCCGGCCCGCCCCTGCTGGCTGCTCTGCGTGTGTGTATTTGTATGTGTACTGTATGTAAAAGGCGGGGAAGGAGGAAACGATTGTTGTGGACGGCTTTGGGGGCGGGTATTCGGGCCTGGAGCCCACGGCTGCCTGTTTAGGGGAAACTGGCAGCCCAAGCTGCTTGCTCGCGCATCCTTCCCCAAGGTGGGAACGGCATAAATGCTCGTGCGTGGTTTACATCACCCGAAAAAGAGGAGCTGTGCAAAAACCCAGAGATAAAATTGGAGCATGTAGTCGGTCCAGCGCGTGCAGCTTTCTCAGGGCCTTTTGCACCTCACCGAATGGGCCTTTCAGCCTCCTTTTTCCTACGTTAAAGCCCTATTTCATTTCTTCTACATTTGAACCAAGAACGTAGGAAGAAGGCAGTCCTAATGAATGCAAAATGTGAACGGTAGAAAGAAAACAGTGGCGGGAAGCTTAGCTAGGTGTTTAGAAAGGATGTGGGTTTGAACCCAAACTAAATTTTAGCTGCTCTTAAATTTTATTTCCCTAGAAGCTTGGTAGCCAGTAGGTAGTAAAAAAGAGAACTGCTACTAAATCCCAGATGTTTCTTCTCTTAAAATACGCTTGAAAGGTTTTTGAAGAGCTTAATTTTTAGCCTTTAGCCGATGTATGTTTTTAATATTTTATAATAATATACCCAGCCTCCTGATGTGAGTTGACAATTCACTGTTTTTACTGTACCAGGCTTATCTAATTTTATTTATCCGTTAACACCCAGGTTCCCACTAAATATGTGATAAATAAGACATTTGAGCATTCGTAAAAATTAATCTTAGAAATAAATCTTAGGATGGAGAGATGGCTCAGCAGTTAAGAGCACTACCCCCTCTTGCAGAGGACCTGGGTTTGGTTCTCAGCACCCTCATGGTAACTAACAGCAACCCCTGCTAACTCCAGCTCTAGGGGATCCATCGCTGCCGTCTGCTGGCTCCTATGGGTATTGCACGACACTGGTGCAGGCAAAACACTCATACACATAAAATTAAAAAGAATTTTTTTTAATTAATCTTTTGTTTCAGCCTTTACTGAATCCTCCCAAAACGCTGTTTAATCAAGCACTGTTTGGTGTTGAAAATACAGCCATGAACAAGTACAGATTATTTCCTATACAAAACAGGGACTGAATATTAAAATATGTACCTAATACTGTTTTAAATAAAGGAGTCACAGCTGAGAATAAATCTGGAAACGATTTATTTGAGTGGGAAAAAATTGAGGATTTTGTTGTGGTTTTTTAAGGGATATAGCATGCCTTTAAGAGGAAATAAGGGGGCTGGAGAGATGGCTCAGCGGTTAAGAGCATTGACTGCTCTTGCGGAGGACCCAGGTTTGATTTCCAGCACCCACATGGCGGCTACTAACCGTCCTTAACCCCAGTTCCAGGGGAATCCGAAGCCCTCTTCTGACCTCAGTGGCATTGCACGACACGGGTGCACTCACATACATGCAGGCAATACACTCATACACATAAAATAAAAATAATAAGATGTTTAAAAAAGGAAATAAGGCATTCCCCATGTAAAACACCCTGAATACCCTGCAAAGAGGGCAACTATAGGTCTATATTGTGCATGGGGCTCCACGTGGAGCAAAAAGAAAACAAGAAAGGGAATTGCAGGTGCTTTGTCTTCAAGCTTCTCACTGGATTTGATGCTATATACCAGGGTCTCCCCTAGATTGTGTGGCAAGACGGGGGAAAACTGACTCTAAAAATGTACTTTCGCTATTTCAAGGCAGATCTTAGCAGAAAGAGGCTGGAAATACTGTGGTAATCACTGAGCAACCCCTTTCAGGGTGACTGTTGACTGGAGGGAAGAAAGGGCACATCCAAATAATTAGAAATAATTGTCAGGTGTTGATGGTAAATCATGAACCAGAAAATGGACAGAAAGATGTCTTAAAGTTTCAAACCCTGGGTAATAAAGATCGAAGCAGCAATCATTTTTCATGGACCCACTTTGTTCTCAGCCTTGCAGCTCCAGGTATGATCAGACCCAGCAGCAGGAGCTTCACCTGAGACCTTGTTAGAAGCGCAGCCCTTTCCCCATTTTATCAAATTTGTAAACATTTTATTACTTGTGGAGGTGGGTACATGTGGAGGTTAGAGGACATTTGGGGGGAGTCGGTTCTCTTCCACAAAGGATCCCAGGATAAACGTAGGTCTCCTGGCTAGGCGGCAAGAGCCCAGCCATCTTGCAGCCTCCAGGCAATTCTTATGAATATTCAAATTGTAGAGAAAGAACTTCAAATCTACTGGTGCTTACCTACGAACCAGGCAGGAGTTGTAAGACTGTGGCGGGAGGATGGAGAGTTAGACACCAACCTGTAGGGAGAGCCTTTTATGAAAGAGAAAGGAGAATACCACGTGAAGACATATTACTATTAGAAGAAAGGGGGTTTTTTTTCTAGCTGTTTTAAAAATTTTTTTTAATAACCACATGATTAGAAGAAGCATTTCATTACAGCTTTAACATTCAGTAACACATTCCAGAGCAAGGATACATCTCAAAAGAAAGTTTTTTAATAGGGTTAAATGGCAGTACCAACAAGTATAAATTATCGTGAATGGGGATCCTCAGGAAATTTTTTTTTAAGTGGAAATGCATTAATGTATAAGTGTTGAACAAATATGATACAGTTGTCTGTAAATCTGGGCAATTTCAATTAGTCTTAGCACAACAGGCAAAGCCTTACCTTTTAAACAACAAATCAGGGCAAAACAGGTAGCAGTTTAAGTTTGGAAAGAACAAAAGGCCAGGATCCCAGAGCAACAGTTCAGAAGCTGAGTGGGAGGGCATTCGAAGGGAGGGGATGGAGTGGGGGTGGAGATGAGGATAGCTGGGCGCACCACAGCCGCTTACAGAGCTTTTCTGAGCTGTTAAAAGCTGGGGCTCCTCCCCCACAGGAGAAAGAATAGTTTTCCAGAACTCTAGCAGGTAAGCCCGAGAGGACAGGCGAATGTAAATGGGTGGGGGCAGGAGCGTAAGCTACATGTGCTCCACGTGTTACTCTTCCCATTCTACAAATGGGAAAGCAGGCTTAGAAAACTTTAAGCAGCTTGCCCAAGCACACTTGGGAGTCCAGGGGCCTAGGCGAACTTCCAACCCTTCTGTTCTGCAAGCTACACCCTTTTGTGATCTTACCAGCCCTCTAGGTGGGGCAGGGAGGCTGCAAAGCTGCAGGAGAATGAGAATGACCTATAATCAGAAAAAGATGCGGGAAATAAAAGCAGCCAGTTCTCTTATTCCAGCTTCAAATTTCATAATCTCCCTCCACCCACCCCATTCCACAGCTTGTCCCCACCACCAGCTCATTCAGTTTAACTCTTTCTGGGATGACTCAACACCAAAATCACATCTGGACATAACCTTCCAGTGGTTTAATTTCTTATTTACAATCTGCCCTACTAGCCTTTAAACTACCTAGTATAAACACCATGTTGTTCATCAGTGCCTGAACTGTGCAGGTACTCAATTAAAAAAATTCAGTAAGTATTTATTGAGTAAGAAGATTGAGCAGACCTCTACTCCTTTACATTAAGAAGACACATGAGGAAGGGCACATGCTCCTCAGGAGGCTGAGGCTGGATGATCATAAATTGGTCAGCCTGTACAACTTAGTGAGACACTGTCTCAAAGAACATAAGGAGCTAGGAGAGTACCTCGGTGGGAGAGCATTTACCTAGCACGCAAGAGGCCTGGAGTCAGTCTTAGGGACTGAAAAAACAAGATGCATGAAGATAATTATATTTGACTTTATGATTTTTTCCATATACTTAAAGGTTGGCCCTTTAAAAACACTAATTTGTTTGCTACAAATTGCTTTCAAAACAAATATATTTAGTAGAAATCTTTAGTAGAAAGTCTTATTACAAAAAATTTAGATTATGCAGTCAGGCCACTCATGCACATAAAAAAGTTATATTTTTAAAGAAACTTACAAAGGGAGCTGGAGAGGTGGCACAGCAGTTAAGAGCACTGGCTGCTCTTGCAGAGGACCTGGGTTCAGTTCCCAACACCCACATGGCGGCTAACAACCATCCATAACTCCAGTTCCAGGGGATCTGACACCTCTTCTGGCCTCTGCAGGTCCTGCACACACACAGTGCACTTACATACATGCAAGCAAAACACTCATATACATAAAATAAAAGTGAATAAATTAATTCAAAGAAATTTACTAAGTTAACATTTAGAAAGAACAAGAGCAGATAATATAAAAAGACGGTGCACACCTTTGATACCAGCACTTAGGAGGCAGAGGCAGGTGGATCACTCTGAGTTCAAAGCCAGCCTGGTCTACATAGTGAGTTCCAGGTCAGCTGGGGCTACGGGGAGACCCTGTCTCAAAAAGACCAAAAAAAAAAAAAAAAAGACAAACCAATGAGTTCACACACATAATATACTTTGTGTAAGTCCTTTGAATGTTCTCTCAAGGTGTAACACTTTTTCAATACAAAATAAGTCCTAAAATGGACCATGTCCACCTGTGATTCTATCAGGGGCTGTTACCTTCCTGTAAGACCTAAATTCTAAGTTCTGATTTTCATTGTTTGAATATTCCTGTAGGCTGTAGTTCTTTGTAAATATTGCCAAACTTAGGATAGTTTATTCTTTAAACAATAATTTTATTCAAATAATTTTTTTTTTATTTTTTAGAAGGAGCATTTCATCACAGCTTTAACATACTCAATAACAGTTTCTAGAGCAAAGATACATCTCTTTCAAAAGTGGCTATAGAATTTTTAGGTTCACTTTTGAATTAAAACAGTTATACAGTATTGAACTCAGTATAAACCCTGTAAGACATAAAATTGAATGAGTTTTTAACCTTTAAAAAAGATCTCTATTTCATTTTAAAATATACTGTTTCATACAGAAAGACTCATTGGGGTTGTTTTTGCTAATAAC